GGATGGAACCCAGTGCCTCACACATGCGGGGCAACTGCTCTGCCACTGAGCCACAGTTGCAGCACAGATGTTTTCTTCTGATGCCTTTACTTTTTCAGTTAAATAGGAAGCCTGAACATGATGGGAGAGGCTATGTTGGAATTTTGAGGAGAAAGAAGGTATGAAATCATCATCTTGGAAAGTGGGAGAGTGAATGGCTTGGGGAAATGCTTGGGAACAGGCAGAGTTGGATTTAACCAGAGATGGGGTTTTGCCTGGTAAGTATGATGAAGTAAGAGAGGGGCAAGGGAAATGAGGCTGTATACAAGAGAATAATTATAATTAATGGTGAGCCATGGAATTTATCCTAATTAAACAAGGTACATGGGAGCAAAAGTGTGACAACATTCGGTCCCAGTGGGGTTGAAAGATTGCTGGATTAGGGGACTAGAGGAAGTGAGCTAGAAGGATAGGAAGTACTGGTTAGATAGCAGGATGTTAGAAATTGAAATCATGGAGAAAACACAGTCACAGGTACTGCTAAGAAGAAAGATAACATTGCTAGAATGGGTGGTTGAGGTGCAGTCAAAAAGCAGGATCTCTATAGGAGAGTTGGTCATAGAAATGAGAGATGAGAAGGATCATTAGAAGGATCATTTATGAGGATATTAAAATCATACAGAGTTCAAACTTGAGTTCATAGCTAAACAATTTCTAGGAATGAGGAAGGGGGCAAGTATGCATGTCTACACATGACCATAACAGAGGGGCAGTGGATGGTAGAGTCTGATGATTTGAGATTTAAACAGGGTGACTGATAGTTGTATAATCTCAAAGAATATCAACATAGATCACTTATTAATTACAGAGGAACAAAGAGTACATGGCTGAGGGTGTGGGTCACTGGACTAGCATGCACAAGGCTCTGGGTTCCATTCCCAGCACTGTAAAAAAATATAATTATATGTTGCTTAACAATGGAGATGTGTTCTGAGAAATGTATTGTCAGGCAATTTTATAGTTGTGTGAACATCACAGAATGTACTTACACGAACTAAGACAACTATGACATTACTAGTCAATTGAATCATATGAGACCACTGTCATATCCGTGTCCAACATTGACCAAAACATCATTATGTGGTGCATGGCTGTAACTACAGTGGAGAAACCTGGCAGACTTTACCTTAAACAAAAAGAAACAAAATTAAGATTAAGAAAAAAAGATACCAGGTGCCTCCTGATATGACACACTCAAGAGCCAACATCTCCTCTATGGTATTCTTGCCAAAATTATATAACTGGAATATAATCACAATCAAACTTCAGACAAACCTAAATTCTATAAAAATAACTGGTCAGAATGCTTCAAAGTTATCAAAGTCATGAAAGATAAAGACTAAAGATCTGGTCCAGATTGGTGAGCCAAAGGAGACATAATGATGAATCATGAATTAGATCCTACAAGAAAAAAATATATATTAGTAGAAAAACTGATGAAGTCTAATAAGTTCTATACTTTTATTAGTAGTACTGCACCAATATTAATTTTCTAATTTTTTGATGTTGTAGTACCAGAGATTGAATTCAGGGCCTTACTCATGCTAGGCAAGCACTACACCAATGAGCTACATTCCCAGCCCAATTTTCTATTTTTTTTTCTTTTTGGTACTGGTATTGAACTCTGGGGCATTCAAACACTGAGCCACTCCCCAGCCCATTTTTGTATTTTAGTTAAAGACGGGGTCTCACTGAGTTGCTTAGCATCTCGCTAAGTTGCTGAGGCTGGATTTGAATTCACAATTCTTCTGCCTCAGCCTCCCAAGCAGCTGGCTAATTTTCTATGTTTTGATACATAAACTATAGTTATATAATTTCTTAACCTTTAGGGGATCCGAGTGAAGGATATATGGGAACTCTTCTGAAATTATTTTAAAATTTGAAAGTTTAAAAATTGTAAAAACAAACAAATAATGATTAAGGAAGAGGAAGACAAAATGTCTGGAAAAGTTTAAAATTGTAAAAACAAACAAACAAATAATGATTAAGGAAGAGGAAGACAAAATGTCTGGAAAAGACAATTAGAAGCAAGGACACCCAATTCAGAAGGCTAAGGCAGGAAGACTGCAAGTTCAAGGTCAGCCTCAGCAACTTATCAAGACCTAGTCTCAAAAAAAAAAAAAAAAAAAGGACTGGGGTTATGGCTCAGTGGTAAAGCATCCTTGGATTCAATCCCCAGTAACATACATACATACATACATACACACACACACACACACACACACACACACACAAAATAAGAAATAAGCAGCAAGGACACCTACCATCACCTCCCACCCTCCTAGTAAGAAGGGTATGAGAGCTACTGGGGGAACAGAGTGTTCATGGGGAAGTCAAATCTCCATTAAAACAGTGATTCTCAGTGTGTACAGTCAAGGAGTGTTTGGGGGCACTTCTGATTATCACAAAAGTAAGAGATCATTAGTGACATTTAGTGGGCACAGACCAGAGATATACTCAAGATAACACCACACAATAAAGAAGTGTTCGGCATACCGTACAACTTTAAAATGTATCAGACTATCATATTGATAAAAATCTGTTCATTTATTCATTTATTTGTCCAACATTTATTGAGAGAGCCTACTATGTGCCAAGCATTGTTTTAGGTAATACAGATACATCAGGGAACAAAAAAAGACAAAAACTGCTGTCTTTCTGTTGCTTACAAATGAATGTCGGACAATAACAACAAATATAATAGAGGTAAATAATATACAGTCAGGTGCTGCATAATGATAGTCAACTAAGGACCATATATATGACAGTGGTCCCATAAGATTACATCACCTAGGGACATCATAGCCATGTTAGTTTGCATAAGTACACTCTCTTATGTTTGCACAATGACAAAATTGCCTAACGACACACTTCTTGGAAAGTATCACCACTGTTAAGTGACACATGACTATTATCTAAGAAGATAAAGAATACTATGGAAAAAATAGAGTAGGGTTAGTGGTAGGAGGGAGCTGAAATTTTAGATTGGATGGTCAAGGTAAACCCTAACTGAGAAAGTGACAACTGAGTAGAGGCCTGAAAGAAGTAAGGGCATGAGCTTTGTGGATACTTGGGATACATGGAAATGTGACTAGGTACATGGAAAGGCCTAGTACAAAATCCCAAAGGTAGAAACATACCTAATGTGTTCAATTATCTTCCTTTAAGGAGACCAGAATGAGTGAAACAGAGCAAGGAGTTGGGGGAGTGGTAGCAGATAAGGCCAGGGAGGTTAGGAGGGAACAGATCAGGGATTTTAATATATATTAACATTTCCAGAAATTCAATGACTTTATAAATTGAGGGAAGATTGTTTTGTTTAGAAGTTTATAAAGAATTGTTCACCATTTAGGAAAACTGCACACTCCTACCTGTGGTTTCACCAATCAATACACATGTAGCTGTCACATTTACAGGTGCAAGTATCATTATGTGCAAGACCATTTCATTATGTCTTCTAGTAGAGTCCAATCCTACCCTGTATGTACTGAAATGCATATTGTTTCCTTTTAAACTATTCTTTCTTTATTTCTGCCTTATATTACAATTAGGACATTATATTGGTTGGGAGGGAATTATGTGTGCAGACAGATTCTACTTTGTATGCACTTCACTTAAGAATAGTGAAGGGGGGGGCTGGGGATGTGGCTCAAGCGGTAGCGCCCTCGCCTGGCATGCCTGCGGCCGGGGTTCGATCCTCAGCACCACATACAAACAAATGTTGTGTCTGCCGAAAAACTAAAAAAGTTCTCTCTCACTCTCTCTCACTCTCTCTCACTCTTTCTTTAAAAAAAAAAAAAAAAGAATAGTGAAGGGGGCATTTCAAATATTTCAAATTATACATTATAGAGTGTAGGTCCAATAGGTTTCAGAAAGACCAAGATATGGCAAGAAAATGAAGGGAGTATTCTAAAGCCAGGATGAGAATGGGGGAATGGGTTGCTGATGCCTGAAGGTGAGTTTCAGAAGGCTTGGTAGAAGGACTTCCCGATAAGGACAGAAAAGAGGTTGCCCAGGGATGCATGGAGATGTAACCAGGAAATCGATAGGCTTCTTGTGGTGACTAATGTTATGTAGGATGAAGGGGTTTTTTATGTGTGGAGGGGTACTGAGGTTTAAACCCAGGGGTACTTTACCACTGAGCTACATCCCCAGCCCTTTTTAATTATTATTTTTTTATTCTGAGACAGGGTCTTGCTAAGTTGCTTAGAGCCTCCTTAAATTTCTGAGGCTGGCTTTGAACTTGTGATCCTTCTGCCCCAGCCTCCCAAATCTCTGGGATTACAGGTGTGTGCCTGTAATCGTGATCTTTCTACCTGTTTAACAGAATAGGCCAGGAAACAAAGAGGGTTCTCTCCTTCACAGACCAGAGCATCTCAAGGCCAGGCTCCATTTTTTACCCTGCCCTCAGGCCAAGCACACTGCTATAAACAGGGCACTTCTAACCTCTTTGAGGCTGGGAAGAGACAGGCTGAAAAAGGAAAAATAACAGAAAGACAGAAGCATTCAGAAAAAAACCCCAATGGGCAAGGGTCAGAGACAGATAAGGAGAAAACAGAGACCAAGAGAGACAATATTCTTTTCAATTACTACAGTCATTATTTATTGAATTTTTTCTAGGGGCCTGGTGCTGGGCAAAGTGATGCACATGCATTACTATCTCAAATAGAGATTATTAGGGCCCCATTAGACAGATGATGAAACTGAGGCCCAGATAAGTAAAGTAGCCCAAGGTTTCAAAGCTAGTTTTAACTGATTGGGTCAGGATTCTGCCTCTTATATCTGGGCTGTCTAGTATGTCTCAGAGGGCGAGACAGACAGAAACAGTGGGGTGGGGGTAGACAGGGAGACAGAGAGGTACGCAGACAATCACGTGAGCGGCAGACCCACACAGAATCATTTCCCAAGGGACTGGGATCAGCGGAGGGTGGGCTCAGCGGAGGGGTCAGCAGGGTACTCACCTGGGCGCGCCGTCTGGGGATCTCAGGAGCACTCGCCCTCCCTCGGCTACCCGTACGATCCTCCACCACCCGCTGACCTAGGGTTGAGAGGCCGCCCAGGTAAAAGCTCGCCCAGGCCCCACCCCTCACGAGCTCTGGGCGGGCCTCTTCTCCCCTCTACTTCCCCCACCACCCCCATCCTTCTCACCAGACACCTCCAGCCGTCGGCGCCGCCGCTGCTGCCAGGCGGAAGAGATGTCAGGGGCCCTCAGCACGATCTCGCAAATATACTGGACGCTTCCCTCCTGCCAGCTCCGGAGCTAGCGGGGTCACAGGCCTCCGCCGCTACCGACGGCTCCTCGGCTCCCATTGGAAGAGTGCCTTCTGCCTTCCCCGGGATTGGCTGAAAATGGAAACACTTTATTTTTACCCCCCAGGCAGGAATCCAAGCCGAGGAAAACTCCGCCCCTTCGGGGGTCTTTGATTGGTTTACGAGCCTAACCCATCCGTTAAGAGGATTGGCCGGGAAGAGAGTGCTTCTCATTGCCCTTTGCCGGTCTATTCGGCAGGACTTAGTGGAGCCCGGGGGCGGACGGGGGTGTAGCGGCGAACACGCAGGCGCGAAGCCCCAAGCCAGGCTAGGCATGAGTCACCGAACTCTCCCGTTAGTCACCTAGCCCTTGCATTGCTTTACCAAGCGACGCGACTTTAACCCCTGTTTCTCAAAGCTCCACACCCACGTGCAAGGATTTCTGAACCAGATGTCTCTCTAGGAGAGCAGAATTCCTATTTCCATTCATGGAGGTTGAAGTGGTTATGGGAATATGGACATCTCACACCGGTCCCTACAACTTCCAGAGATATTGGTCAAGTGACAACCTCGCTAGTAGCCTCAGTTTAACCATCTGTGACATGGGAATATATTTACTTTTCCCCACAATGTTGTGATGATTAAATGAGAACACAAATTAATTGACTGTGGCATAAATAATTAAAGACTCTCCAAATTCTTGCCTTTCCCACGTTCAGGCAAAGAAGACTATGGTCCAGAGAGGCAAACCAATTGCCTTGAAGTCACACAACAATTACCCAGAATAAAACGCAGGCTTATATCTTCCAAAGGAAAGCTGTTTAAGAAGGAAGGAAAGACAGGAAAAAACCTTCTATTAATGTAGGTTTTTGAGTTTCACAGACCTCCGGGTGAGTCTGGGGATAGAGTTTGGAAAAGCCCATAAACTTGGGTTGCAACAAATTTATGTCTTTATTCTTTCCCTCTCTAATAACTAAAATTTAGTGTTTTCTCAATTAAGAATATAACTAATGGGCTGGTGGTGTGCCTCAGTGGTAGAGCCCTTGCCTAGCATGTGCAAAGCCCAGCATCACAAAAAGGAAAAAATTAAAAGTAACTAACCATACTACTACTATTATTGGTGACTGTCCCCAATAGAAATCACAGAGATTTTTACATCACGTTATAGATGTTGTGGATCTCTTGAAATATATAATCTTATCACTGTTTTAAAAATCATGATACTAGCCAAGCATGGTGGTGCACACCTGTAATCCCAGTAACTCAGGAGACTGAGGCAGGAGGATCACAAGTTTGAAGCTAGCCTCAACAACTTAAGCAAGGCCCTAAATAACTTAGTGATACCCGGTCTGAAAATAAAATATAAAAAGGGCTGGGGATGTGTCTCACTGGTTAAGCACCTCTAGGTTCAATCCCTGGTACTACAAAGTGAAAAAATAAAAATCACAATACTTATTAGATCCTCCATAAGATCTTATGATTTAATGAATTAATGGGGAGCACATATATTACTCTAGCACATATTTGCTTTATATATTATATGTGTATACACACACACACACACACACACACACACACACACCAGGGTACTCTACCACAGAGCTACATCCCCAAACCTTTTTATTTTTATTTTGAACAGGACCTCACCAAGTTGCTGAGGCTGGCTTTGAAGTTGCAATCCTCCAGCTTCAGCCTCCCAAGCTGCTGGAATTAAAGGCGTGTACCACCTCACCTGGCTCTTTTTCCATATTTTGATAACTATATTTCAATATAATAGTTTTCCTTTGTAATTCTACATATTTTGTTTTAGGCACTAAAGAGGTATTTTTTTTTTCCTGAGAAAAGATCCATGGGCTTAATTAGATCACCAAAGAGGTGCAAAACATTGAACTTGAACCCAGACTCCAGAAAGACAAATATTTGGTCTCTCTTGTTTTCTTATTATATCCCTGTCACCCATTCTAGTATGGGGCACACAGTAGGTGTCAATGAGTACTTACTGAATGAATAACAGGATTCCTCCCCAATCGTCCTTCATACCCTCGCTTGAGGGAACCAGTGCTGGCCCTTTTGGTCACCTAAGAATAAGGGACATTTCTGAATCTACTTTTGTCACTGCCAAAACTGATTCTCTTCACAGAAGTGAATAGCACTTTAAAGGTCTGGCCCTAGGAAACCGTGGGAACCTCATACTCAGGAACAGGGCCGTCTGCTTCAGAGGTAGATAATCTGTGAAGGATACTAGGACAAGTTCAGCATGGGATCAGGCCCTGGGGCACGTTGGATGTGTGACTATTATTGCCGCAGTCTGGCTGGGCACAATTCAGGAGCCACTTGTCAAAAGAAACGAACTTTATTTTTAGAACACACACACCAAACCACACAGCTCCTCAGGAAAACCCTCAGAGCCCAACTGCCACCACCGGCTTCCCACAAGCCTTTCCACCTGCTCTTGAGGCTGATTGGCTGGGTCGCATGGGCGGAGCCAAAAAAAGTCCCCCAATGAGCAGCTCCRTGGTCTGAAAGGGCAGGGAAACAGCCCAATGAGCATCACCGCAGAGGAGCCAATCAGTTGGCAGCTAGAAGTTTGCTGGGGCCACTGTGAGCCAATCATCAGCCGGCAGCTGGAAGTTTGCTGGGGCCCCTTCGGCTGTGGCTCTCAACAATTCATCCTCCTGGCTTCTGTTTAAGGTCCCAGCTAATGGGACCTTAAAGAAGAAGACTACATTTTGGAGCTAGATGTGTCCCTAAAGACCTTTTTGAACAGTCTTCTTCTTTTTTTTTTTTCCTTTGGAGGTCCAGTTTAAGGACTGAGGGCACAGGGAACAAGATGTCATTCTAAGCAAAAAAATGTCCTCTCCTCCTCTTAGGGCTTGGTGATTTCTTCTGCCCTCCATCAGAAGAAGGAGATAAAGGCACAACTGCAATGGAAACAAGACTCCATTGGGAATTCTTGCTGGAGCAGAAAGGAGGCACATCACTGACCAAGAGAATGTCAAGCGCCTCTCAAAACAAAGAGAAAGAGCTTATTTTATTCATGTGAAAGGGTAGTAGGGGTGAACTTGAATTGAGGAATGTCAATTGGTTTTAGGTGTATTTTAAAAGCTGTTTTTCTTCTCCTGGGAAGCACTTTAACCATGAGGTAGGGGTAGTCAGCCCATCATCCTGGTGTCAAATGTTACATTTTTCATGTTGATGCCACATCCTGCATAAACCTCTTTGCCCTGTGATAGGATGAGTTGTTGCAGCTGTTAAGAGAGCACATGGGTGGAGAGTGGAAGAAAACATAAATCATGCAAGTAACAAGTTCAAGGGCCTAGGAATTTGTTGTTTCAGTGAGTGCTCAACAGCTTTATCTTTTATGTTGTTTGTCCTTAGAGAGTCATGAAGAGGGTGTTCTGGCTTTAATGATGCACCTGGTTTCTAAGGCCCACAAGACTATTTGAAAGTGACTGAGTGAGGGAGTGGGGGAAAGCACAAATGCTTTTAATACCCCATGAGCCTTGAGTTAAGATGGGAGAGCAGGGAGAGAGCACATGCCATGCTTTTAATAGCTTATAAGCTAAGAGTTAAAGTCCCTGAAGTACATTTGCCCTTTTCAGGGATGGGAGCTGTCTCATCTGCCCCTTCAGAGTCTTTACTTGCTTAATCTTAAGGGGTGCTGTTCTTCATGAGGGTCTCTTACTTCTTCATTCTTATGCCTTAGCCCTGGACATGAGCACCTTGGACAACTATACTAGAATCTCATTATTGGCTCCGAAGAGTGTCCCTGCACACCAAAGGCCCTCTCTGACAGGGTGGATGAAGAGAAGCCTCATATATCAACTTGAGGGGCTGGGAATTTGATTGGGGTGCAGAGAGAAATCAGGGAAGAGCACGAAGAAGTCTAAACTTTAGAGACTATCTTCAAAACTAGATTCTATCTTGGGAACTTAAGTTGTTTCTCCTGGACTGATGTCCCAGCATAATTTGCCTTAGATTATATATGGGAAAACTGAGGCCCTCTAGAGAGGATGAGGGAGTCACTTTGTGAGGTAGACCAGACTGAGGCAAGAATAATCAGCTGGCTACTTCTCAGACTGGCTGGGATCCTCTTGCCGGGCTCACACCTTCCTGGCCCACTCCAGGGCCTTTGCCCTGCTGCCTCCCATTCTCCCTTCGCTCTTCACATGTGCTCAGGGGACTGGCTCCAGATAGTGTAGGGAGATGTCTCTTTTGACTCTGCACAAGATGCCTTGATTCAAGGTTCTGCACTCTTCTTTGTTCTAGCCCTGAGGTACTACATTATCTTGGGCAAGTTGTTTCCCTTTCTTCTTTTAAAAGTAGTTTATTTTTGTTTTGAAATGGAATCTTACTATGTTTCTCAGGCTGGTCTTAAACCCCTAGGCTGAAGCTATCCTCCTGTCTTAGCCTTGTGAGTAGCTGGGAATACAGGTGTGCACTACCATAACTGATTAAATGTTTCTCCCTTTCCAAGCCTCAGTCCTTTTCACCCAGCTCTGACAAAATGAGTCAAGATCAGAACCAGAGATATTAAAACCTCCATTCTCTTCCCCAAACATTTATCAGAAGCATTGAGAATTATGTCCGTGATCTGGCATTCCAGCCATTTCAAGAGACATGCCCAGAGAGGGAAGGGGCTTTGCCAAAGTTTCCACCGCAATGTGACACTCAGCCTGACTCCTCTCAATCCTTCTCCTTCTATATCTAAAGCCTGGCAATTTCAGTAACTTAAAAGCTCTCGTGTAATAGACATATTTCTCATACGGAAGAATTCTAATTACTTTAGATACTTTCCTCTCGAGGAAATGCAGCATAACTCCCCACTCCTTAAACATTTAGCTGCATATAGTGGCTTCTTTCCAAAGATTACAGCAGCACAAAAAAGGACTAGCTTTAGAGTGAAGAAACCTACAGACACTACTTCAGCCATATGATCAAAGTTAACATCAACAGCAATAAATCATGTTGATAATACAAGCCCTTGATATGATATGATTAGAATAGCATTTTACTTCTGTGGTCTTCCTCCCATGTTGTGGTTTGAATCTAGAAATATCCCCCAAAGAGCTCATATGTTAGGCAATGTAGCAAGTTCAGAGATGAAAATATTGGATTATGAGAGCTATAACTTCATCAGTGGATTAATACATTTGATGGATTAATAAATTGGAATGGACTACTGGGTGGTAACGGGAGGCAAGTAGGGCATGGCTGGAGTAAGTAGGTCACTGGGAATGGGCCCTGGGACTCTTATCTTGTCCCTGCTCCTCCTCCCCCTCTGCTTCCTGGGTGCCATGAACTAACAGTTTTCTTCCATCATGCCCTTTCATCATGATGTTCTGCCTCATCTCAGGCCCAGAGCAATGGGAGTAGGCCAATCATGTACTTGGACCTCTGAAACTGTGAGCCCTAAATAAATGTTTCATCCCCTAGTTGTTCTTGTCAGGTACTTTGGTCACAGAGACAAAAGGTAACTAACACTCTGTCTTGTTTAATCATGAGAAAAACATCAGACAAATTCCAGTGAAGGGACATTCTACAGAATACCTGACCAGTACTTCTTAAATATTGATGACTCCAGATTATCAAAAACAAGGAAATCCTGAGAAAGTGTCACAGTCAATAGGAACTTAAGGAAACATGACAACTAAATGTAGTATGGTACTCTGGATGAGATCCCGGAGGAGACAAAGGACAATGAGTTAAAACTAAGGAAACTTGAACAAAGAGTGGACTTCGGCTAATAATAATGTGCTGATACTGGTTCATTAACAGCAATAAATGCACCACACTAAAGTAAGATGTTGATAATTAGGGAAACTGGCTGTGGGGTATACAGGATATTTCTGTATTGTCTTTGTAGTAATTCTTTAAATATAAAAATACTCTGAAATTAAAATAAATATATATATTTAAAACCCTACCATATCCATCCCCATGGTACCTTCTCATCTGAGGTATAGCTTCCTCACAGCTTTTTCCTCCCTCCCATCCGTTCTCCTGACAGCCAGCAGAGGGCTGCCTCTAAAACGCAAATCTGACCTTATCTGAATCCTTCCTGCAAAATAAAGGCGTTAGATGGAAAGTTCGGGAGATATATTGTAAAATACCGACCCGAATATTTGTCTAAAAGTTATTATAGTCCAGAAAAATGTGGGATATATTTCTGGTGTCCGTGGAAATAAAGTTACTAGGTCCAAAATTAAATACAGCTCAGTCTTTCCAAGGTTTCCCAGACAAAGCCTGCTTTTCAGATGCCCAACTCCCGACTCCTCACCCCATCGATTCCCCACCCCACCGCACAACTATAGAGTGAATTCCCTTTGTTCTGCCTTTATCTGTATAGAAACTCCTCAGCCTCAGCCCTCTTTATTCCTGACTTCTCCCTTAGGTCCAGCTACAGGGATTCTGCACCCCCACGCCCCAAAGACGAGAGCGCGCTCCTGTATGATTGTGTTGTGATATCCGGACCGATATCGTAGCTTTTATTTTTTTTACTACGTAAGAACGAGAAAAAAATGGATTCTTCTGGCTTCCCCACGCCTAGCTAACACTAGGCCCCAAGAAAGACTTGACGCACTAGAAATGAACAGATGAATCACCGAATAAAAGTCCAGGCTCAGAACATCTCTTTGCGCATGCGTCAAAGGAAAGGCGTGGGAAGCTCTTTGCTACCTGGCTGGGTCTAAAGCGACCGCCGCGACAGGGAGGGGCTTCCTCAACCTCACCCTGCGATTGGTCAGGATGGTCCGCAATGGTCTGACGCAACGCCTTTGCGGCCTGGAGGAGCTTGCCCCAGGTCTGCAGAACCCCCAGCAACTACCATCTTGGAGGCGATTGCGTAGACTAGGAGGCTTCGTGCTGGCCTGTTGGAAGACTGGCCGCTAGAGATTGCACACTAGGGCGGACAAAAGACTCGAAGCGGCACTTTGAATTTGCTCAGTTTTATTAGGATCATCAGGGTTCACAGGGAAAAGAGGCGGGACTTCTGGGGGAGCGGGGACAGGAATACCGCAATGGCAAAGCGGCCTTGCATAGACACCTAGGCGGGCTAGCGGCACGGTGAGGGGGGAGGGAAGAAGAAAAGGATGGAAAGAGAGAGACTTGGTAGAACAGGGTGGCAACAGAGCCTTCAAGGCTACTGCACAGCTGCGATGAAGGCCACAAGGACCCTCTCCGCTTTGGGATCAGGGTGTCCACTCCACAGGAAGAGGGGCTGGGGCCAACACTAACAAGGAGAAGGGGGCTAGAGGGGCCCTGACCAAGGCATCACAATAAATACGTTTAGCAGCACACAGAAGCCTGCGGGAGGAGGAGGGCCAAAAAGGGGGAGAATCTCCCTTCCCCCCTCCCAAAATAAGAACTCTGCAATTACTAAACCATAAAAATAAACTTTAAACCCGTGTACGAAGTCGGTCACCCCCCAGAAGTGCAATGTGGAGCCGCATGGCCCTAGCTGAGGGGGTGGGAAACGGGACAGGAGGAGGGGGACACAGAGAAGAGACCCCCCAAAAGGGTAAGATGTTTATCCGGTTTTCCCCCTCTTCCCCGGGTTGGCCCAAGCGTTTGGGACTTGAAGCACCTCCTCAATGTCAGAATCTTCTGAATCGATTTCACTTCCTTCCTCCTCATAGCTGTCTTCGCTTTGCTCACTGCCTGCACAGGGGAGAGAGGCAAGGAAGGGGAAATCGAGGAGGGCAGTTAGATGTCACTCTGAAAAGGAACAGAAGACACAGCCAGGGCCTTTGAGGGCCTGGAACCACTTTCCAAGCGCCTCTGCTTGGAAAAAGCAGCTCTGTTTGTGTCAGCACATGCCCACAGACTCAATCCCACAGGGTGGGGGGCGGGGGTAGGAAGGAGGCATGAAGGCAGGGTGGGCTCCCTGCCTCTGTCCTGTCAAAATTGATACATTTCTGAAAGTAGCTTTTTTTCTGTCCCCTCACCCCCCATTCCTCAATCTGGCTCTTCCTGAGTTCAGACCTCAGCTGAATAAACCTATTCATCCCCAGGCAGCTCCCTCACTTCTTTTCCCCAGTCTGGTGCAAACAGGCCCCAGTCTGTCTTTTTCAGCCCAATTCCCCACACCCACTACCACCCCAGGGTTGGGCAGACAGCTCTGCCTCCCATTCTTGGATTTGCCATCAGGTGGGAGAAGAGGACTGACAACTCCCTCAGTTCCCCTACCCTACCTGAAAAATAAATCTAAATTGAGGCCACTCACTCATCCAACGCCATTATCCTTGATGACCCACCCCTGTCTGAAATGATGTTTGCTAGGGAGCCCATGGCCAAAATCTGTAGGAGTGGTTGGTTTTCTCACCCAGTCTATCTCCCTCTCCACCAGGTGGGGGCGGGAATGACACTTCTCTTCTGTCTGCTTAGAATCAAGCTCAAATACCACCTTTACCAGTCTTCTGGGTCAGAACCAAACTTAGGAGTTACCTCAAATACTTATCTCTCCCTTAAACCCCCTTGTGCAATCCTTCCTCATTTCCCAAAAATGTGTTCTTTGATAACTTCTGTGGTCAAGAAGTTTAAACATGTTGAGATCTGAAAAGTGAAATAGGTTTTTTTTTTCACAGTAGGTTTTCTTAGTCTTTAAGGTGCTAATATGTGTGATTCTATAAGAGGAAATTATTGTATGTAACATGTATGACCACTGAACCCTTCTGTGAGGACCAACTTTCAAAACTGATAAAACGGTTCTCAGGAGACAATTTTGGAACCCTTGCCCAACAAACCATGCATTTTCACTCTTCTAGGTCCTTGTTCACACTATCCATTCCATGGAAAATGCTCCACAGTGCTCTTCATTGGGAATGCAGCTTCCAATTCAAGTATCACCTCCTTTTTCTAGCTCTCCCACCCTCTTCCCCACTCTTGAGTTAGAATTAGCTGCTCCATCCTCTAAGCTTACAAAGGAAACTGTCACTTCACCTTCAGCTGCCCAAACAAGCCTGGGAGTTCTCACAAAACCAGGGATCTGGGTACAGAGTGCTGAACTGTAATGTATTTGCCACTTTTTTCCACGTATGTGTGTATGTGTGTTTACTTTTAATTTTCCACCACTATCTCCTATATTTTTGTCTACTTTTTTGTCTTTTGCTCTGTTACAACCTAGAACAGTTCTATCACCTAGAATTGAACTTTTTTTGTTTGGTTTTGTTACATTTATAAATTAAATGCTCGCTGACCTTCCTTTATTTAAAAAGCTGCATAAAGCTGTTTTTTCTTTCCTTCAGAAGAAAAGACAGTGTTAGTAGCTGGATACCCTGTTCCAGGCTTTCTCTGAGAGAGAAGAGTCTAGCTCACCTTCCTCACTGCCCTCCTCCTCCTCTTCTTCCACTGAGTCTTCAGAGATGATCTCTACCTCATCCTCGTAGTCATCCTGGTTGGAGCTGTTATCCTGATCCTTGTCAAAGATGTTAATATCATTCTTGTAGTAGTCAATGTCTCTGTCGTCATCATCACTTCCCTCATTGTCACCCTCGTTGCCATCATCATCACTACCCTCATTGTCACCTTCATTGCCATCATTATCTTCATCATCACTGCCCTCATCTCCGTTGTCACTATCACTGGTGTCCTGGTTGTTGGCACTGATGGCAAGGTTGCCACTGATGCCTCGGTTGTCACTGTCCAGGTTCTTGTTGTCACTATCAACACTCTTGTTGGGATTCTCATTGTTTTCAGGATTCTCATTTTTGTCGTCAGTGCTCTCATTGTCATCAGTACTCTTGTTGTAAGTGGTCTCATCATCAGCACTCTCACTACTGTCAGCGATCTCATTGTTGGGGTTCTCAATGTGGTTAGGGCTCTCACTGTCACACAGGCTCTCATTGATGTCAGTTATCTCATTGTCAGTGGTCTCGAAGTAGTCGGTGGTTTCCATGAAGTCAGAAATCTTGATGTCATGAATAGTCTCATTGTCAGTGGTCTCATCAATGTCTGAGATCTCGCTGAGAACGTCTCCCATGGCATAATAGTCATTAGCGTCTTCCATGATCACCATCTCAAATTCATCCTTGGCTTTACTGTGGGGAAGTTTCAGGCTAAGTATGGGGTTAGTGGGAGATAAACCCAGGGAAAACACTGAAAAATGGTAAGTAAATGGGAAGGCAGTAGGCTACAAGGGCTCCAAGGAATGATGTTAGGCTAGGAAGAGTCCCATTTCTGCCCTTGACTGTGTAACCCTCAGGCCATTTCTGGGAGTCATTCTTCACTTATAAAATATTGCACTAGATTATCCCAAAGGTCCCTTGCAGCTCCATAAATCTTGTATAATACTAACCTAGTCTTTGCTCCATGTCCAACAAACCATTTCTCAACCACCAATTCCCCCATCACCTTTCCTTCTCTTCTTGCTTCTTTCTGTTTGCCCTGTAGCCCCCTTCTCTCATGTAGTAGCGTAGAGGGTTAACCCACAGGTCATTCTTGATAATCTGTTGAAAGAGAAGGGGAACAGAGCCATGTGTATAAGTGCCAGACCTTACATCCAATTCCCCAGACACTCAGGGAAAGCCTAGCAAAGCCTTCTCTGCAAATGCCAAGAGGGTCCTCACCTCAGCAATTCTGTCAGCTTCTGGGAGGCTGTGGTTTGAGAACCAGCTGAAGAAGCTGTGGCTGGTGTCCTGGTTCCTGCGATTGTGGGCCTGGGGTTCCTGGCCCCGGTGCCAGCGAATAGGGGTGGAGTGAGACACCAGCCGGCCTATGGGAAGAGGAGGCCATAGAAACAGGACTGGATAAGGACAGACAGGGGGACATGGATTTACCTTGGGACCACCACTTACCCGAGCGGTTGCGCTGGAACTCCTTGACGATCACCATGTTTGTAAAGTAAGGGTTTGTCTGGAAGTATAGCTTCATTTTGTAGCCCATGGAGATATGTCTGAGATCCTGTACCTGCTCAGGGTGGTGGCAATGGTGGAATCTTTTCCCCCAACGGTACCTCCCACCCCCCTCACCTTTAAGGACCAGATTCCTTGGTGTTCCTCTTTGGCCTGACCTGAAGATTGGTCAAGTAGCGGAAAATGTCTTCATCTCGTTGGTTGATCAAGATTGAAATTCTGGGGTGGTTGAGGAACTGATGAGTGGAGCAGTTTAGGTCAAGGATTAACTGTTCAATGTGAGGGAGGGAGGGAAGGCCAGGCAGGGCAGAGCAAAAGAGAGGCTGGAGCAGGAGGATTTCTTCTATATTGATGTGATATGTGTAGAGCAAGCATACTTTATAAAAGCATACTTTTATTCCCATGATACAATTTATGTGATGAGACCCTGTGTTTATGTAATGTTAAATCTGTGTTAGGTAGCCTTGCCATGGTTCATATTTGCTATGTGTCTGGGTGCTGAGGATCTATGTCCATGTGATATCTCTGGATGCTGAGGGTATGGGTTCACAAAATACTATGTATCTGCGGGCTGAAGGCCCCAAGTGATGATGTATCCAGTTACTGAGGGCCTCTAAGTGGGTGTCAAGGGTCTGCATCCACATGATGTTGTGTGAATGGCTCTTAGAGTCTGTGTTCAAGTGATGCTATATGTCTGTGTGCTGAGAAGCTATGGCTACATAACACTGTCTGGGTGCTGAAATCTTGTGACTACATGATACTGTATGCCAGTGCGCTGAGGGCCTGTGATCACATGATATTTATATCAGGATGCCAGGGGTCTGTCTCCATGTAATTCTGTTAAGATGTTAAACCTACATGTTCCTAACATGTTACATGTATATGTGTTCCCCAGGGATGAGCTTAACAATCAGGAACAGTGAATAGGATTCTTCCTATTCTCCCTTTTCCTTCATTTAACCCCTTGATCTTCATACCCAGGTAATTCTCTCCTGGCCTTTCAGAGGCTCCAGCCCCTCCCTAATGCCCTCTCCTCCATCCCCTCCCAACTTCAGCTAGGATTGAGGTCTCCTAGTGTCTAAGTAGACAACTAGGCTTGCAGAGCCCTCTGTGCCTTAAACATCCTCTCTGGGCAGTTTCTCTGCCTTTCTCCTCCCTCTTCACTGAGTCAGTTCATCTTCTGTATGCCCCTCCCCTTTTCCTTTCACCATCTCTGGTCCAATTTTTCTGCTGTGCTCCCCTGGTACCCTCCCCCTTTCACTGTTTGTGATCCATTTTTTTTAATGTTATGCTTCTCCTCTTCCCCCACTCTTCCCATATGTGGTCCAGTTTTTATTGTGTGCTCCCCCAACATCTCCAGTCCAGCTTCTCTGCTGTTTTGCCCTCCTCCTTCCATCCCTCTTCTACCCAATCTAGTCAGTCTTCCGATAGGGGGCTCACCCCCATCTCTGGCCCTCCCAGACATCCCTTCACCCTTTCTGTCCCTCCCCCATGTCTCCTTTTCTGTCATGGGTTTCTGGCCCATGAGTATCGATGAGAAGGATACTGCTTTGACCCAGAAGCCTGGGATGTGCTGAATGATCAGGTCTCTGCGCTCCAGGAAGGGTCTTCGCATCTGGATGAACTTGCGCTTGAGACGCAGGAAGGCCTTGCCTGCCTTGATGTTCACTGCCTCCAGGTCCATTTGAATGCTCTCCAGTGCCTGCAGGATGCTTTCCATCCTCTCAGCATTTCTCTCTTTGCTTTCCTTCACCTTCCTCTGCTTCCTCCGCCGCCGCCGCCTCCTCCTCCTCCTCACACTTTCCTTTTCATCCTCATCCTCATCTTCCACTATGATGACAGCCTCCTCCTTCCTCTTTGGACCGACTAACATCTGGGGCCCCCACCCCCCTGAGCTACAGGTTTCTAGGGCCTTCTCTCCTGCAAGGCTGCTGGGCTCTGCAACCTGAAAGTCAATTTCCAGGCTCCCCCCAGAGGCTTCGGAAGGGGGGAGTGTTTCCAGGCTCTCTGTGGGAGGGGGCGACTCCCCATACCCTGACTCGATCGCAGGATCCCAGCCGGGACCACCAGCACCCAGGGTGAAGTACGCGCGGATCCCCCCCTCCTCAAGAATGACATAGGGTGGCGGTGGGGGCAGCGCGGGGCCCAGTCCCACCCTCCTCATATCAGCCAGCACCTGTGCCGCCTCGGTTTCCTCGCGGAGCCTCGGGCGCTGCTGGGGTGGAGGGAGAGGCAGTCGCAGGAGCGGCGGTGGCGGCGGCGGGGGAGGCGGCGGCGGCGGATCGCGCTGAGGGGGCTCCGAGCCGCTGAGGCGGCGGGTCTTGGCCGGAGGCCCCTCATCCGGGCGGTCCATGGTGACCGCGCTCACAAGCTCAGGAGATAGCACTAGCTCCTTTGCTCTTGGCCGGCCGCCGCTACCAGTTACACCTCAAATGCAGCCGCTGCGCCTCACGCGACCAGCTCCGCTCACCGCCTCGCTCTGGCGTTCCCTCCCACAGCGCTTGCCCTACTCCCTCCGCGCCAATCGCGAGGCCCCGCCCACTGCCTGACGCAAGGAGCCTGCCTGCCTCATCATTGGCTGCCGGCCGCCGCGGCGGCGCTCGCGTTCCTGCGACCCCTGCCCGCTCTCACGCAATCTGCTTGCCAACACTACACATCATCACTTTCCGATTGGCTCTCCTCAAACCCGCGAATCAGCGGGCTGTCTACCCCGGCGAAGAGAGGAAAACTGCCAAACGATTGGTTGCGAGGAAAGCTAGGGGAAGAAGCCCCTCTCCCTCACTCTTAAAACGTTTATCCAATGGGAAAAGTACCAGTGGTTCTGAAGACCAAAAAACAAGACGAAAAACAAACGCAGTGAGCAGGATGTGCTCAAATAAAATCGAAGAGCCTCGCTATCGTTCCCCCGCCCCCCTCTCCTCAGCAACTACGCACTTCTTAAATCTGCCCCTTCCCCCATCTCCTGCTTCTGCCCCCGTGGTCAACTCTAATGTATCCACTTAGGGTGCCGGCTGCCCTAGCGCTCCTGCAGTTTAGGCACTCAAGGTCTTTGATTTGGGGTCTAGGTTTTGACGTGGCATTTTCCATCTCTGCAAAATGGTTCTAGAAACAATACTTACACAAAAAAGTAACTGCCTCTGCGTCATAAAAAATGATAGCGATTCAGCTCATCTGCTAGATTTTTCTAGGACTTTCTCTTAATCTATTGAACAGTTCTCTTCCCTTCCATCCTTTCCTCCATGTATACTGCTTTTAATTATATCTTAAGATTTTGTTTTTGACAGAGATGGATGGTCTTTGGCGAGGCATGGTGGTTAGTGGAATTCTGGTTTTGGGTCTGGAATGAGTGTGACCCTCACATTGTAACCCTAATCAAATCACTGCACCTCTCTGAGCTTCTTCTCTAAATTAGGCATCCCTAGTTCCTAAAGAGATGTAGGTAGCTTCCCATTGCAGCCTTGTTGTGGTAGCAAAGAATGGAAGTGAACCTAGGGATCCATCACCAGGGCAATGGATTGGAAAAATGTGATATATGTTTAAGATGGACCACTAAAATGAATTAGATCTATATACAGCAATATGGCTGGATCTCAAAAACATAATGTTGAGTGAAAAAAGAAACAGAACAAGATTTATAGTACAATACTGTTTATGTAAATTAAAACACACAACAATACCATATATTTTACACAGATACACATATGTAAAGAAACACATGATCGGTGGATTGGAAGGACAACGTTAAATACACGAGTGGGTGCCTATATGGAGTGGGGGAGGATGGGATCAGGGATGGGTGATGAAGGGGACAAAACAAAACAAAAAATAAAAGGGCCTTGCATGGACCAATGATGATATATTGTGCCAAGAACTGAGGAGTATGGTCCACTCAGTTCTGTGCACCTGAGAGAATAAATAAATAAATAAATAAATAAATAGTAAATCAAGTGTGCAGGGAGTAGGCCAGCTGGGTAGACCCCAGACCTGCTGCACCTGCCTCTGAATTTAATCAAAGTTGACCAAAGTCCCAGCTGTATATAGTGGATCCTTGGGAAAGGCTCCTAGCCTAGACTGAGCAATTTCTCCAGTGCCATTACTTTGGGGGGGACATTTCCTAACCCCATCAGTTTCCCCAATATTTTATCCCCAGTTCCCTTCCCCCATTCTCCATGGTCATCCAATTTCAAGAACATCTTGTTTTGAGTTTGAGGAAGGGGACTGAGACTCCAGGCTTTGGGAGAAGATGGGGTTCTCAAGTAACCTGCCTTTTTCACCTGGTGCTCAGAGCTTGGGCCAAGAGAGGATGATCTTATGAGATGGGAGTCAGCCCTCTTGCTAAATACATAAACATAATTTCCAGGTTCTATCTCCTGAACACACTACTTCCTGCTGCAGGCACATACTCTAGTTTGTCTCCTCTCAACTAGATGGATGTGTATGTGTGTGTGTGTGTGTGTGTGCACGCGCACGCACATGCAATGTATACATCTCTGCATACAGGCATTTACTCATATGTATGCACCAGGCAAGTTCTCCTCAGGCAGGCACATACTCTAGTTTGTCTCCTCTCAACTAGATGGATGTGTATGTGTGTGTGTGTGTGTGTGCACGCACATGCAATGTATGCATCTCTGCATACAGGCATTTACTCATATGTGTGCTCCAGGCAAGTTCTCCTCAGGGGTGTCTTCTCACACAAAGTCACACAGACACACCCTGTCTTACTCAGTCATACTTCCCCACGTATGGTCACACAGACAGGACACAGACACACACACACACACACACACACACACACACACACACAGTCAGAAAGAGAAAACATCCAATATAGCATTGTTCATTTCGTTTTTCCATTTACAAAATCCAATGGTGAATCCAGGCAGTTAGAAAAAAGAAATGGAGGAAAACCCTCCTGAGTGTACCCTATCTACCCCCCACCCCCTTGGTCTTCCCACCCCACCCCTCGGAAAGGCACCCCTATCACTATCACTGAGAGAACAGGTACCCCCCCCCCACTCCCAGCCTCTCAGCCACTCTGGCCTGCCTTTCCAGGGTCACTCCACAGCTAGGCTCATTAATGTCTCTCCTGCCTAGAGTGCCCTCCTCATTTCTTTTGGGTCAAGGCTTCCCCAGTTCAGGGGCTGTCTTGGGGTAGGGAGGGATCTTAGGACAGGGGCTTCTGTAAGAAAGGTAAAGGGGGGTGGATAAATACAGATAGATCCCTGCCCCTGAAGGAAATTATAGGGGGACAGAAAGCCTGGGCAAGGCCAGGTAAAGGAGTGCCAACTTGGCTTACCAATTCACAGAACTAGCCTTGAAGTAAGCCCAGAGTAGATTCTGTCCCTGGAGGGAGGCTTGGAAACTCCCACCTAAGTAATCTGGTTGCAGTCTGCTCCACTTTGGGTGTAGGTAAGGGTGGAAAGGAGGAAGGGATTGAAGGATTGTTGTGAGGAAGGACAATTGGGGCTGACCCAGAAGGCCAAGGGCTACCAAGGAGGGGCTTGTGGCCCAAGGCTTTAGGGGGACAAAAAGAGGTCAGATAGGAATGGACTCAAGTCCACAGTGCCTTGGGGTTTATACCACTATCAGTTACCAAGGCCCCAAAAGAATTCTCATCTTCAGAAGAGTAGTATGAACCTGGGAGAAATTCTGGGGTTGAATTCAGCTCTGACCTCAGGCTCTGGGATCCAAGGTACTCTGGGGAGTTCAGCTTCTTCCCTACACATCTGAGGGGCTACTCCTGCCTGCATGACACCTACAGCCCTAGTGGGGCTGGAGTGGGTTTCCATCCTCAGGAAGAAGAGTTATTGGGCTAGGGATCCAGGAGATGGTGTGAGAGAATGTGGCTACGCTCGATCTCTTCAGCTCAAGGAGTTCAGCTCACATCCTACTCTTTACCTAGTTTTTTGGGCCCATCATGGGGGCCCTTTTCTCTACCCTCTTGGCTTCTCAAATAGATCCTCAAGAAGCACTAGAGAGGTCTGGACATGGTGGGGAGGGAGAGAAGACTGGGCTTGGGACCAGCATTAGCCAAAAACGACATTGCACACAACATAGCAATAGACATCCTTGCTCCCTGGGGACCTAGCACCCCTTTTGGTCCCTCTTGTTGGCAACCTTGGATAAGTTTCTCCCTAAACATCCAGGCCTTGCTAAAGGACTTGGAAGGGGAGGGTGCCTGGGAGCAGAAGGGGCAATAAGAGCTCTGGAATTCTATTTTACAGGACAAATTTCCCCCTTCTGGACAATGTCAGAAGGAGAGACATTAAAGCAAGAAAGCCTGCCTCCTTATCTGTTAGTAGAAAAACCTGCATTTTCAGTTTTGTTTTCTTTTTCTGAATTGTCAGAGAGAGAGAGAGAGAGAGAGAGAGAGAGAGAGAGAGAGAGAGAGACTGTAGAAGTAGAGAAGGAGGCTGCAGAGACAGGCCCCACAAAACTAGGATGCCTCTTTCCCAGTCCCCCACCCTAGGGTGGTATTGGCAAAGGTGCCTGGATTATGGGTGGTTCGAGGGGCTGGGGCTGGAGCTCAGAAAAGAAGGCTCCTGTATGGGGCCCCACCCCTCCCTTGTTGTTGGCCCCACCATGGTGGCCATGACCTTTTCCCTGCCTGTCTGCCTACCCGCCTGCTTCACATGACACAGTAGGGTTCTCTGGGAGCCGGGGCACCTCCTGTGCCCCAGCAAGGGGCATGAGTCCTCAGGCACTTCTTGAGGTCCTTGTTGAGCAGGAAGCAGACGATTGGGTTGACAGCAGCCTGGGCGAAGCTCATCCAAACAGCGGTGGCCAGGTAGCGGTGGGGCACAGCACAGGCTTTCACAAACACTCGCCAGTAGCAGGCCACGATGTAGGGTGACCAGAGGAGCAGGAAGAGCAGTGTGATCGCGTAGAACATGCGACCCAGCTGCTTTTCACCCTTGACCTCGTCCATGCCCAGCAGCCGCCGGCTGGCCGCATGCCCATTCTGCCGGATACCCAGCAGGGTTGGTGGCATGGGCCCACGGCCAAAGCCGGCGATCCAGTTGGCAGCAGCCTGGCCTGTGGCCCCAGGGCCATGGAATGTCCAGTTCTGGCTAATGGCTGGCACCATCTGCACTGGCTTCATCTTGCGGTGACGGTACTCGAAGAGGAGCAGCTTGCCATAGACAGCATGTGTGGCTGCCATGAGCACGGCCAACATAAGCATGAAGCCCAGCGTGTCATTGGCCTTGAAGTAGCGATGCTCAAAGATGCATTGGTCCTCCTCCCGGATAAACTTGTAGGTGCCCACGTCGAAGACGGGTGGGAAGGCCATGGCCACAGACAGAGTCCAGGCCATGCAGATGACAGCTGCGCATGTCCAGAGTGTCATGCGCTTGGCGTAGAAGCGGTGGTGGGCAATGGCCATGTAGCGGGTAACGCTGATGCAGAACAGCATGAAGGCCGCATGGAAGCAAAAGAGCACAGCCATAAAGGCCACAATCTTACAGCTCAGTGCACTGAAGGTCCATGAGGAGCCGTGGCGCACAGAAGCCAGCACAAAAGGGAAGCAGACGGCAGAGCGTATGCCATCAGCTAGGCACAGGTCCAGCAGAAAGTAGTAAGGAGCCTTGTGCAGGGCACGCTCCTTGAGCACCAGCAGGGACAAGATGGCGTTGCCCGCAAGGCTCACGCACATGATCAGTCCCAGCAGCACCAGCTTCACGTAAGCCGATGCTGACGGCGGGGACAGTGCGCCGCTCACCTCCTCGGGCTCTCCGGTGGTGTTGGCCATACTGAGGGGCAAGGGCTACTCCCAACCCTAGGGGGTCAGCCAGTCCGGTACTTGATGGGCCCTGGGGGACTCCATCAGTTGTCCTGCTGGGCTGCACCTGTAAGTGGGGACGGTGAGGGAGACACAGACACAGAGAGACAGAGAAGTGAGGACAGGAGAGAAACAGAAAAATGCACACAAATATGTGGAGACAGTAGGAAAGAATGAGAGAGAGAGAAATGGTGACGAAGTTATAAACAACACAGATGTGGAAAGGATAAGAGGATAAAAAAGAGTGATATGAAACAGAGATAAATGAGAGACAGTGAGAAATGGGTGGAAAGGAAAGGTGAGGAAGAAACATAAAGGCCAGGGTTAGTGTGTCTGTGAACCCTTCCCACTGACTCCCTAGTTAGGGTCAGGCCCTGAGTCTGGCCCTGAGTCTAGCCCACTCCTGCTCCTACCCCTTCCTTGCTGGGTGCAGATGCTTCATCTCTTTGGATGTCCTCAGTTACCCATTTCCTACACTTGTGCATCTGTGGGGACAGGAATGTTGTTGGGGCTCCTTTCCCCCTTTTTAAAGCCTCAAAGTTGTGTTAAAACTTTTTTGACCACCACCCACAGTAAAAAGGATATTTTACACCACAACCCAGTACACACACAACTCAGCAAGTTTCAAAAAACAGAACTGATCCCATGTGTAGTGTACTCCATTCTATTTTATTACTTTTTTCTTTCTTTTCTCCTCCCCCCCCATCACTTCCTTCCTTTCTTCCTTCCTTCCTTTTGTACTGGGGATTGAACCCAGGGGCCTTTTACCATTGAGCTACATCTCCAGGCCTTTTAATTTTTTACCTTGAGACAGGGTCTTACTTAGGTACTTAGAGCCTTGCTAAGTTGCTGAAGTTGTCCTCAAACTTTTTTTTTTTATTGATTGTTCAAAACATTACAGAGCTCATGATAAATCATCTTTCATACATTTGACTCAATTGGGTTTTGAACTCCCATTTCTACCCCAAATACAGATTGCAGAATCACATCTATTACATACTCACATTTCTACATAATGGCATATTAGTGACTGTTGTATTCTGCTACCTTTCCTGTCCTCAAACTTTTGATCCTTCTGCCTCAGCCTCCCTGGTTGATGGGATCATAGGTGTGTGCCACCATGCATGGCTTCTATTTCATCTTTTTTAAAAAACATGCTGGCAGTCATTCATCAAATAGATTTCTGTTTAAAATTTTTTCTTAGGATAACAAGGCTTCTTTAAAAAATTTTGTTGTTGTTGTATATTGACACAATATCTTTATTTTATTTATTTATTTTTATGTGGTGCTGAGGATTAAACCCAATGCCTCACATGTACTAGGCAAGTGCTCTACCACTGAGCTACAACCCCGGCTCCTAGATTTCTTTATTCAAGATCAGATACGCATTCAGCATGCTCCAGGAACAATGGAAAGATTAGTGTCACAAAAGTAGCATAGGTGAGGGAGACAGTGGTAGGAGGTAAGGTCATACACGTGTCCAAGGTCAAGTAGTATAGACTGTGGGCCATGAAGAGGACTTTGGTTTTTACTTTGGGTGAGATGAGGAATATGCATGAATACACAGATGAAAGCATGCTTGTATGTGTTCATTCATTCATTGAAAAAATATTTATTTGTTGAGTATCTACTGTATGCCAGGCACTATTCTAAGTACTGAGGACAAGACAGATAAACAAGACAGATGAAGATCCCTGCCCTTGTGAAGATGACACTGAGACACAGGCGAAGTTGGTATATCAGATGATGACAAATTCCTATGAATAAACATAAAGGAGGGAAGAATAGGAAGTACTAGGGCTGGGAAAGGTATTGCAGTCTTTGATGAGGCAGACAGGGAAATTTTCACTGAGGAAATGTTATTTGAGCAAAGACCTGAAGGAAGTGAGGAAGAGAGTCACATGGCTATTTGAGGGAAGAGAAATCCAGGCAATAGGAACAACCTGAACAAAGGCCCTGGGGTGGGGCAATGTATGGCACATTTGAGAAAAAGCAAGGAAGGAGTTGGTAGAACAGAATGAACAAAGGGCAAGTGCTTCCAGGTGAGGTCAGAAAGGTGGCAAGGAAAGACCACAGAGGCCATGGTAAGGACTTTGACTTTGACTCACAATGAAATGGGTTTTGAGCAGAGGTGAGGTGTGATATGATTTAGGACTGAACAGGATCCCACTTGCTGCTGAGAACAGATCATATGGTGCAATGGTGGAAGTGGGGAGACTAATCAGAGGATCCTGCAGTAATACAGGTGAGAGGAGAGGTCACAACATTCCCATTCCTGGTTCTCTCCTTTATTTTTTCTTCCTAGAATTTCTCTTGCTAACACACGATATAATTTATTTTTAAAATATTTTTTTAGCTATAGTTGAACACATAATCTTTATTTTATTTATTTATTTTTATGTGGTGCTGAGGATTGAACCCAGGCCTCACACATGCTAGGCAAGCACCCTACCGCTGAGCCACAACCTCAGCCCTATATAGGAGCAGTACAGAGCACACAGTAGGTTCTCAGAAATGATGTCAAATAAATTGACTGAGGGACTAAATGGGCTGGTGAGTAGAGAGGACTCCCTGGGGGCATCCATGTAGGATTTGCTGAAAGAATGGCCTGGGGATTGTGTCTGGTAGTGAGAGTGGCACAGCTGAGCTTGGGGAAATCAGGAGAGGATCTGGTGTGTGCAGGTACAGAATTTTGGGATTTGATAAGGCAACTGGGCAGAGCCCAGAGGGAAGGTAGCTGAGCTACTTGAACAGAAGCTGGAGAAACTCACAATTGCTATTGGGGCTGGGGCTGGGCTGGGCTGGGCTAGAGGAGGTGGAGCTTAAATGGATATTTTCCTACCACCTCCTTTCTAAAGTTTTCTCTCTATATTATTTCCTGACCCAGTCCTACCTAGTCTGCCACAGCCTCCTAGAACCAGTTGTGGGTTTTTTTTGTCTTTTGTTTTTTGTTTGGTTTTGTTTTTTATGGTTCTGTGAAGTCTCAGAGTCATTGGCTTACTGGCATAGGAGGGGTCTAGGACAGGTGTTAGGAGAAGGAGGGTTGGGCTCTCTTTCAGTCCCTCAAGTTCTGGTGGCCCCCTCTCAGAACTGGAGGGCAGCCTTCATCTGGGTATGTGTACATGTGCATACACCCATGCCTGTGCACAAGTATGTGCACATACACACACACTCCTTAGCCTTTAGGGGAGGCAAGAGGAAAGGGACAGAAATAGAGACTGAATGTAAGAGAAATTTAGAGAGACACATAGTGAAAGAAAAGAGAGGTGTGTGTGTGAGAGAGAGAGACAGATGGAGACACAGGAGGGGGAAAGAGATAAACAGAGAAAGAGGAGAAAGGAAGAGATTGAAATAGAGACAGAAAGGGGAAGAAGAGTGAGAAAAAAGATACAGACAGGCACATAGAGAAACATCACAACAGAAAATGAAAAGGAATAGAGTCAGAGATAGAAAAGGAGAGGGGGGAAAAAGAGGGATGACAACAGAAAGAAAGATCTAGAAGACTAGAGAGAGATGGTAAATGAAAGATAGAGAGACAAAAATAAAGATGGGGGGAAACAGAGAGACACGCTAAGACTGAGAAGGTGAATAATGAGTAACCCTGAGTCTCAGTGGAAACAAAAGCTAAAACAGAAAAAAACCCAAACAAATAATAATAAAAAAAACCCTTACAAAACAATGGCAGCAAACAAAGCCCTGGTGTTTCTGGGAAAACTGGGGAGATTGTTGTAAGTGACGATGGGGTGCTCCTGAGCACAGACTAGCAGCCACAACTGGGTCCCAGCTAAGGCTAAGGATGTGTGTGCACCCACAGATCACACCTGTGCTGGTGCCTGGGCACTCTCACATGCAAACATACACACTTGCAGATTTCCACAAACACAACCTGTGGCTATGGAGCCTTTTGGACAGCAACCAACTCATACATGAATAACAAACACATTCTCTCTCTTTCTCTCCTGGGCACGCATGCACACACAAGCGCGCACGCGCCCGTGCACAACACACACACACACACACACACACACACACACACACACACACACGAGATGGAAGTCGATCTTATACTCTGCCTCTTCACACAGGGACACAGTGTACAATGCCTAAGAACCAGTGCCTTTCTCAACAAAGCCATTGCTGCCCCCTAGGGGACATTTTGGAAATTTGTAGGAGCATTTTTGGTTGCCACAATAATGGAGTGTAAGGTGTCCTATTTAGGGGTCTAGGGCAAGGATGCTGGCCAGCCAGTGATCTGCATGGCAATACCACACCACCACCATATGTCCTGCATCCCTTAGGACTTTGAACTTATAATTAACAGAAGCTAGACTGTAACCTACTTCAGTCAAATGCCATTTCTTTTTTCTGGTTCTAATATACCCTGAATTATCCAGGAATGTGTCTGTCTTTGTAAGTCGAGATGAGACTGTCCTTTGGTTTGTGGTGCACTTCCCTTGGCACGATTTACTATTTTGTAAACTCTCATCCAAATGATTTTGCCTATCATTTTCCTGAACTTTCCCCCATCTCCTAAATCCATATTTATTTATTATAGGGTCTTATGAGCCACTAATTTCTTTCTTGAATATCCTAAAGAGTGCCACACCCAAGCATTTACATATTGAAATATACATTATTTTCTTATAAGTCATTTCCCTTTTATTTCATATTAGTATTATAGTTAATAAAATATGCATATTGTATAAAATACTATATGAGCCCAGTGTGGTGGTGCACTTAAAATTCTAGTGACTTGGGGCCAGGGTTGTGGCTCAGTGGTAGAACGCTTGCCTAGCATGCATGAGGCACTGGGTTCTATCCCCGGCACCACACAAAAATGAAAACAAATAAAATAAAGGTATTGTGTCCATTTATAACTTAAAAAAATTCTAGTGACTTGGGAGGCTAAGGCAGCAGGAACACAAGCTTGAGGCAAATCTGGGCAATTTCACAAGATCTCATCTCAAAATTAAAAAAAATAAAAAGGATTGGGGATGTAGCTCAGAGGTAGAGCACCTGTGGGTTCAATCCTTAATAACACACACACACACAAAAAAAAAAACCTGT